AATTTTTCCTTTCTCTTTGGAGTGTTACAAGATCTTGGTGCATAAAGAAGATCTGTAACGTTGCAAAATAAGCGTCTCAAATCCAAAGAGATATTCTTTATAAAAGTTAAGAGTCAACCACACCTACCTAAAACAGCTCGTTCTAACACGCCTCCATATGTCTACGTCACGATGTGGGAAGATTTGCCTAACGCCGCCCAAATGTTCACGCAAAGAAAGAAGCGTAACTTTTATTCTCGCTGTAGTATTGTTGTTGCCGCCGCCGCCATGCCGTGGAGAGTTTTGTTTGGCCTTCCAAAAGAGAACGATATCCGCTTCGTCATGCGTAGAGCCTTCCAAAAGTGGACACGACTAGAAATCAGTGGTTAAGTTGTATTTACAACACTGTTCCAGAACAGTTCAACCCATAATCGTCGCTCCGGCCAGACAGGGCATCACAGAATGTTAGGGGCGTAACATTTCCGTCTCTCACGCTTGCGGTCTTCGGCCAATCACAATGCACTGGATAGCTGACCAATCACAGCACACCTCGCTTTTCAGAATGATGAGCTTTGTAAAAATCGACGCGTTTCAGAAAGGTGGGGCATAGAGGAGAAACAATAATGTACAGTATGTGGAAAATAATGTGTTTTTTAACCTTAAACTGCATAAACACATTTCATTACACCAAATACACAAAAGTTATTTTTAGCAGCATCATATGACCCCTTTAAAAAAAAGTTCTTACCCAATTGCCAAATCGTTTTTTAAGCCAAATTTAATGTTTTTATGGCTTATGTAACTGCGCTTGCCAAGTAAATTTGTCTTGTTTTAAAGATGTTGGGGAAACCAGACAGAAATACTAATTTAGAAAATAATTTTTCACAGTGTCCATGACAACCACTGACACACAGATAAAACAATATTTAGGATTTATTTAAGTTCCAGGGTATTTCGTCAATATTTGCACCTCTCAGATGTTACTCTAGGAAATGGGTGAAATAATTTTTTTGTTATTGTTGTTTTTTTTTTCTTCAAATTTATAGGCAGACTCTCTCTGGAGGAATTCATCAAAGGTGCCAAGAGTGACCCCTCTATTGTCAGACTACTGCAGTCTGACCAAAGCACCTCTCGACAGTTATGAATACAGATCTTAAAAGCAGCTGACAGGAAACCACTCACATGCACACTGAAAAGGCAAGATTTAATTAGAAAAGTAGTTTGTGGTATTAATGAAACACATATCTTTTCTGCTTAAAAAGTTTCTGTTAATGGGTGGTTACCTTTTTAATCAGTATTCCAGCCTGGTTTTGGAATTGGTATTGTTGAGTTGTCATAATGTCTGGGAATTGTCAGAATTTTTAAAGAACCCTTAAAATCAACTGGCAAAATTCAGGTATTTACAGATATTTATAATTTAAAACTTATTCTTTCGATTATTGGTTGCGTTAATAAAAAAAAAAAGCATGAAACTTGCATGAATCTGTAAAATGGTCAAGTGACTTCAAAGTGTCTTTAAGAGATGACCTAAAAATAATTATATTTTCACAATTGTTTGCATTCCACTCAACGCAGTAAATGATTAATCAGTAGCATGTGAAAATTTCTAGACTGGCTATTTGGCAAAAAGATGAAGTTCTGCTTGTAAATATTCCATTTATTTGGCATTCATTCCAAAAATCTATCTCAGATAGCTCCAGAGAACTATGTGCATGCTTTTGGCATGTTCTAAACATAGTATTTGTACTAGCTGTTCTTTGTTGAAAGTTGGGTTTTATACATCATGTGGTCTAGCTGCATTCGGAGCGGCCTGCTGTCCTGCCAATTATGATCATTTTGAAACATCAGACGGTCTGTGTTCTACTTTATTTTAGAAGGAAAGTATTGCTTCTTTAACTGTGTAACAGAACATGCCAACAGTTTGGTGTCAGTAAGAGTTTTTTTTTTAATTAAGGATGCGTTAAATTGATCAAAAGTGATAGTAAACACGCTTGCTTTGTTACAATTGTTAGATTTCTATTTCAAATAAATGCTGTTCTTTCCAACTTTCTGTACATCAGAGAACCCTGAGAAATATGTATCATGCTTTACAAAAAATATTAAGATGTTTCTTGAGCAGCAAATCAGTTTCAGGGTTTGAAAGATCATGTAACACTGGAGACTGGAGTAATGGCCACTGAAAATTAAGCTTTTTCATCACAGGTGATATATTTTTTAAATATATTAAAATATATATTTCACAATATTACTTATGTTAAAGTAATTTTGATCGAATAAATGCAGCTTTAGTGAGCTTAAGATGTTTTCAAGCCATTTGAAAAGTCTTACTGAAACCAAACTTGTGAACAATAATGACTGCCCACTATTGCGTGCTGGGATTTCATTTCCATGTGTTTTGAGTTCAAATGTAGCATTTAGATTTAAAATCTAATATGCTAGAATAAGTTTGGATTTTTTTCCTCAGGAGGTCAGAGAATGAGTCGAATTATAATGCGCATTGATGATCTGTTTTAAAGTGCGATTGAATCATGCATAATTTTTTTGCTTTGTGTTGGTTTCGATTCTAAATGAAACTTCAAGGTAACAAGCAAACAGTCACACTTTTCACAACCGTTTCTGCCCTGAAGGTAAAAAACAGCAGCCATCAGCCTTTAGGCTGCTCATGAATATTTGAACGCTGTTGTCTTGTGTGGACATATGCAGCAGATAGAATGGTGGTTAGTTTCTATCTGTCCTATCACCAATCCAGTGTCAACATGAACAGTACAGATGCTGTTGGATAAGTCTCTCCATGGAATGTAACAGTAACACTTCATGTCAAATATTGAATCTTCAAGCTCTTTCTGTTAAAGGAAACATTCTTTCACTTGGCTCTTAATTTGCTCTTTTGCATGTGTGGTTATGTCAGCGCTCCCTTAGTATTTTTTTTTTCTCTGTAAAATGACTGTTGAAGTGAAATGCCAAAACGAATATTTGTACTGGTCACACACACACACATATATATATATTAGATTTATGAGTCATTTTTAATTTTGTATAGTGTCAATTGTGTTGTAAAGGATGATGGTTGAAAAAAAACAACAAAAAAAAGTTATATCGCAGCTGGGAATGGGATGTCCAGCCATATTTTTGTGAAGCCAAAGCATCAGTGCGAATCTAAATGTTGCATCTTTACAGTGTATGTGTATGTGCATGAATTCTCAATAAACCACTGATTCATAGGCAACCGGTGTTCATCTGAATAACTTCCTAGATAAGCGGTCATAAAAAAAAAGCTAGTCAATTTATTATTTTTGTTTTATTTTCATAACAAAAACCTTTTTTTATTTTATTTTTCAAAACAGTGCTGTGTAAGAAAAATCTACACGATGCCCACATTACACCTGATCCAGCACATTAGACAAATGGGCAAACTGGGATACAGTTTGGATGACATTCTTTTCAGTAACACAATTTAAAAACAACAACCAAAAAAAAATAGTCACATCAGAGGGAGAAAGGGTGAAAATGAAAACAACTTTAGGCATCTTGCAACTCAAGGAGCTGCTGAAATTACAGAAAGGCTGATTTAAATAACCACTGGTTAATCTCATTACCAGAAAGACCAGTGCCATCTGATTAAATCTAGTCAATGAAACAAATATTAGAAAGTGTTCTGTGAAGAGCCTCTGTGTGACATCTGCTTACTGGAAACAAGTGTTTGATAATCTTGAGAGTCACATTCTGCTTCATCAAGTTGATTGAAAACTCCAATCAAAAGTTAAATCAGAAAGTGAAGGAGGAACTTGAGGCAGAGCGTAGCTCAATCGTGATGTACATACTGAAAAGCCTCATTTTTCAACTAACGTGGAGATGTTTTCTTTTAAAAAGCTGCACAACCATTTGCTTTATTTGTATCTTTTCAGAAGTCTTAAGGAAGTTTGTGTCCCAACCATCCCCTCATCCATGGGAGAGAAGACATGGGCATCATTTGGGGTCTAGTGTAGTTTAGACCAGGCTCATAACTCATCCTTCTCCAGATCATCCAGATCCACATCGCTCAGGTCAATGTCATCCTCCATGGGCAACTGAGGAAAGGCCAAAAAAGGGGTGTTTGAGAACAACAAAGAAAGACATCTATGCACCCTCACACTGTTTTCTATACTCACCACTCCGTCTTTCCCATCCCAAGGTTCCACAGTGTTGATCTTAGGCAAAGCTCCGCCTCCCACTGTAGCAGTGGAGCCACGGCCAACAGAAAGCTCCCTGCATAAATAAAGACATTGATAGTTTTTAACAACATAAAACAGGCTGACAGTTAGAAGGGCCCTTATAAACAACACCTTCAATTTACTGTATGCTAAGTCTCTGTGACGTAACTTGTTTCCCAGAAACATAAACTCTAGCCTTGTGTTACCTGAGAAATTCGTGGATGCCCGTTTCACTGAATGAGCCTCTGAGCAGAGCAAACTTCATCTTGCGAGCATTAATGGCTGCCATGGCGGGATAGCCAAATCCACCGATCCCAAGAGATGACTCCAGATCCATCTGTGCCCCTGCTTCAGTCCACAACCAACTGTAGAGAGAGAGAGAGAGAGAGAGAGAGAAAAGAAAAGAGTGTGATGTGTGTGACTGTATCCCACTCTCTATTCCCTAAAGTTTCATCTCTGGCACACAAGCAGTGACATGTACTGGTGTTATTTATGGGCAGACTGATCTCAACTTGTACTCAGACTGAAAACACTGACCCCCACGTCTTCTTCTTGTATTTGTCTGCCATCATCCTCATCACCTCCAGGTAAGAGTTTCTTCCAGATGCACCTGCAAGCATAGAGAAAATACAGTTTGAGCTTCGCTTCCACAAATTAACAGCGTTGTTACCGTCTAACCAAACTATTACAAATTATTTTCAGTAAGTAAAATAGAGCATAAAATGTTTTATATATATATAAACTATTAAAAATGGCTAAAACCTGAGGACATATAAACTAATTAAAATATAATAGTACATAATATTCAAACTATAACCGTAATAATACTTAAATGCATCATGTTACTAATACATTTGTATCATACACAGTGTTATAAACTGAAGTGATCACTTTTAATGACCACCACATGAAATTATTAATTTATTATGGCTGGTATCTGATAAATGGCTGGTACTGAAATTATATAATATTGTGTGTAAATGAAAAAAAATAAATCAAAAACTAAAAATCAATAACTTTAAATGCAAAAAGTGAAATGAGATACAACATTATACTGTATATTTAACAGTTTTTAGTCCTTTTTAAAAAATTTACTTTAAGTGAACATTAGATGACAGAATAAATTAGTAAATAAGCATGCATAATTAAATATTAAATACTGACCAATATATAAAATAAAAATCGTTAATATTAGACAATAGCCAATACAGTTCCAGTATATTGTGCATCCCGAGTGAATCATTCCGTTTAAGAGGATTATCAAATGATAAGCAAAAAAAGTATTTTTGTTTTATAGTTGCCACCGAAACGCACCTGTGTCTAGAATGTGAGGCAGCACAGATATGATACACAGCTGATAGTCCTCGCAGGTTTTCTTCAAAACGTCTTCATTCAAAATCTAATGGAAATAAAATTCACATGAATATAAACCAACCTAAAATGACCCTGGACCACAAAACCAGTCAATAAGGGTCAATTTCGAGAAATTGAGGTTTATACATCATCTGAAAGTTGAATAAATAAGCTTTCCATTGATGTATGGTTTGTTAGGATACAACAACATTTGGCCGAGATACAACTATTTGAAAATCTGGAATCTGAGGGTGCAAAAAAATCTAAATACTGAGAAAATCACCTTTAAAGTTGTCCAAATGAAGTTCTTAGCAATGCATATTACTAATCAAAAATTAAGTTAATATATTTACTGTAGGAAATTTACAAAATATCTTCATGTAACATGATCTTTACTTAATAGCCTAATGATGTTTGGCATACAAGAAAAATCGATACTTTTGACCCACACAATGTATTTTTGGCTATTGCTACAAATATACCCCAGCGACTTAAGATTGGTTTTGTGGTCCAGGGTCACAAATATTTTTTATACAAATTACAATGCCTGTTATGTTACAAAATAAACTAATTACTACTAACAATATAAAACACTAGTTAAACAATACTCTTCTATCCTATTAAAAATAGAAGAGAAAACTCTCACCTCTTGAAGCTCTGGAGGAGGGCTGTTGTCAGAGTAAAGGCCCATGGCACGAGCAACTATGTCAGATCGGGTACGTCCCCCCTGATAGTCCTCTGGCTCCTCTCCTTTACGAAAGACCTTGATGGTAGGGAATCCTCGAATCTAACAATAAAACCAGCAGAAATGCCAGCAAGTCTAGATGCAATTAGTGAACCCAAAAACCAGAAAATAAATAAATAAATAGAACAGACTAAAATAAAGAACAGCAGATATTCAACAAAAATGGTCAGTGTCCAAAACTGATTAATATTATTTGTTGGGATATCACTGGGATATAAAATGAAACTACAGACAATATAAGAATTGTTTATATTCAAAGACATTAAATAAGTGATATACATCAGACGTACCCCATAGCGGCTCGCCAAGCCCTGGTGAACAGTAGCATCCACAGCACCCAGTTTCACTTTACCCTTTGTCTGCTCTTTGACTTCTGTGGCAGCTGCTGTCCATTCCGGCTCAAGACTGGAAACATTAAAGAAAGTCAACAGGGGAAAGCCCAGCTGGCAGAGGAATTTCATTGTCTTTGATAGGGCTGAACGATTTTGGAAAATAATCTAATTGCGATTTTTTGTTTTACCAATATTGCGATTGCGATTTAATATGCAATTATTTTTTTAAAGCTCTTTATGTTCTGTATTATTCAACAAAGACAAGCTATAAATCATTGTATAGTATGCCCAACACACTATTAGATAGATTAAACATAAATGTTCTTTTCTTTAGGCCAGGCCTATATAGTGGGGGAAAAAAGTATTTAGTCAGCCACCAATTGTGCAAGTTCTCCCACTT